AAACATTTTTTTATGAATTATATCATTTAAATAATATTTTTCCAATGTAATGATTTAAATAGTAATTCAAATATTTTGTCCTTTCATATTTGACTTTAAAAAAGAATGTCACTTGTGACGCGCCAATGGCTTCCCTTCTTGACGAATTTCTGGATCCATCGTTGCCTAATAATTGTAAATACGCTGTATCTAAGTACTGAAGCTCTCCTTTAGGATCAAGATTGTAAATTCTTCCGTCTTCACTTCTGCACAGTTCAGGCGTACGCCTCGTAATTTAATTTGCACCGGCCGACCTCCAGCCGATGCTCGTGTTTGCAGCGGATGTGCGACGTTCGCATGGAGGTTCCACCTTCGTAGTAACAAAGGTGACGAGAGAAAGAGGGAGAGAGAGAGGGAGAGGGAGAGAGAGAGAGAGAGAGAGAGAGAGAGATGGGATGGTGGCTGTGCCAGGGATCCTCGTGCTAGGGCTCATGAGCTAAATCTACCCTTTCTGCCACGATACTCGGTGAGGGGTTACTTTGATCACATCGAGAAGAGGAGGCTCTGATGGGAAAACGATAACGAGAAGCGAGGGAGGATGAGAAGAAGTCGCAAGCGGTCTGCTCCATGTTGGTGTAATATATCAGGGTTGTTTTTTTTTATTTTGATAGTCACAGCGCGTGACACTCTTGCAAATTGTCCGTTAGTGGAATTCTCGCAAAATTCCGGACCAAGTTGTCACGACGGTCCAACGTGAGACATGAATAGAATTTTACACGCTTGTGTCGCGAGACGATTCATCTTTCGCGTTTACGGATTAAAACAATTTTACAAGTAGCGCGCGGTATGTACTTATATACAGCGGGGCACAAAGGTTGGCGCTTTTTACATGGAGAACGACAACATGGAGAAAGCAGGGATCGATTCGGGAAAGATTTGGGTCGCTGTTCGCGTAATCACTTTTGTACCGTGCTCCAGTTTATTTATTGGCGTGGAAATGTATTTACAAAAAATACGAATGAATGGAAAGGCCATCCGGAAGACCGCGTAACGCGCGAAAAAACTCGAAGAAATCTGTACCTGAAAGAGTGGCTTGTCGTTCGCCGGCGACGCCGGAATCTGGACCGTGTAGAATTTTTGCTCGAATTCAGGGCCATGATCATTAATGTCCTCTACCGTGATGACGACTCTTGTAGTCGATGACAAAGGCGGCCTGCCGTTGTCTCTCACTGTCACCTACAAGCATGAAATCATCAATTACAGCAACAGAACAATTAAATACATCATCGAGTACGCACGTTACGTTAAAATTGTGAAGCAATCGTTCAAAGATATAAATAAATAAATAAATAAATATATCGCTAATTTGTTATAACAACGACACAATGTGGAATAATGAAGTTTTCCAGGTAATAAATTTACATGTTTTGAATCATTACAATTTTGAAATGCAATTTAGATATTGATAACCGATATCACTTTGATACAATCATTGATTGTAGAGAAATAAAAGAATGATCTCATATTTTTTCTTTCTTTTTTTATGTTCTCGTCCTTTTTGTAAGTTACTAAAAAAAATAACAATTTTTTAGTTGTGTCATTGTTGTAACAAATGATAAGTAAATATTATTATGGAATAGTACACTTGTTACATTAACATATACTTTAAGGATTAAGTTTGAAAAAGATTAATAAAATACCAAAAAAAAAAAGTATAAAAGTGAAAAAGATTGTCTGATGAATTATGTAAAATCGTTGCATTAAAAATTATATCTTTATGATAATCCAGATTCCGATAATATAAAGAAAAATATACAAATATAATAATCTCATAAATATTAAAATTTTATTAATTGCAAAATATTATAAATATCGTTATAAGAGAAAAAGGGAGAGATCTATGTTATCGAAATTTAGCAATATTCGAATATTGAAAAGCCAGCAACGGTAATTTCAGCGAATAAACGAGTTAATACGAATTCTGATTAATTCATGGTTAAATTAACGCAGATACTGGGCTATCAACAAATCAAATCACAGCATCAACATATCGTTGACTCGATTTATTACTATCTCTCATAATGAAAGCATGCGATCGGCTTTACTACGCAAATTTCAATCTCTCTCTCTCTCTCTCTCTTTTCCTCATCCGAGGCATTTATTAATATACAAATTGAGCTCTCATTTTCTCTTTTCACGTGTCGCGATAAATATCCATGTATTCGAATTCCGCAACTATAGCGAAGATACGCGCGTATGCGCATTAATTAAATTCTCAGTTTGATTATTCAGGAAAACACGTAAAACATGTGTAGAAATACACTTTCCCTCGGTTCGCGCCATCGATTATTGGTTGGAAAATGAAAAAGGGTGAAAAAAGGGTGCATTAAGAAGAAGTTCAGGGGAGTATATTCCCCCACGTAATACGATAGTTTCCTAGACTATCTCCGCCGGTACGATTTTTCGTACACAGCCCCTTTTTCTCGTTTACTACAGTCGTTGTCTTATCGCGCACGTTTCTCCTCGTCCTGCGAAAATCCTGGACTTTCATGCGCGAATATCGCACGTACGATCTGGGCAGTCGGCTGTGCTGACCGGAAGAGCAAGAGGAAGCGGAGTTTCGGGTCGTAAAACCAAGTGTCCCCGCATCCGAGACGACATCGCAAATCCGAGATTTTGCTCTTCGCAACGTCGTGAGAATCGCGCAAACGAAGATTGAAAACCGCATAATTTTTACGAATTCAGATGTTGCGGAAACATCGAAATCAATTTCAATAATAAAGAGAATATTTAAGAGCACATTTTTAAGAGCTGTTATTTTTAAAAATTATTTCAAATTTATAAGCGTCGAGAGAGACGTCTTTCTATAATAAACTATGCGTCGTCAAGTCTCACCGAGATCAAATGAATTTATAATTACACTTTGTGAATAAGTCATGCGGGTTATTTTTGTGCACCGTCATTCAGCTATAAGATTTAATTTGCATCTTCGTCAAAGCGGTCGCGTCCGACAATAACACACTGCATTCTCGACTTTGTTTACCTTGCGTCGTCTATAAATTTTACATGTCCTGCTTTCATAAGAATAAAACGTTCCCTGTTCTACGTCCAATTCTGTACGTAGATAGATTTGTCTTTCCTAGAGGCGGACCTTCGCGCAAATCAGTAACGAAGCATGTGACTCATCGCGACGACCGTTCTATTACGAAGCCGGTTGGGCGATCTGTCCATCCGTCCGGCGGAAGAGCCGCCGGGTAGACTGATGAGAGAGCAGACCGGTTACGAAATTCTCCGTCTCGGGGTCGTCCCCGCCGTCGTTCTTCGGTGCAATAATCGGTCCTCTCACGAAGCAATTTCCGCCTGGGAGAGAGTGAAAGAGAGAGAGAGAGTGAGAGACAGAGAGAACGGAGGAAGGCTGCTGAGAGACCGCGACGTAAATCCAATGTCCCTCGGGACATCTCTCGCGGGAGAGGACTATGCGCGTCAGATCCTCCGGGGTAACACCTGCACTAAATTAGGAGTACGAAACTCCGTTTTATACACCGGACGTCGGCCCGAATATCGGGGCACTCTCATCTGCGACATGATGCGAAACAGCTCCGGATTTCCCTTGTACATCGGCCGCGTGCTTATCCACATCTCTCTATACAGAACGGCTCGAATTCATTAAACAGAGCACACCTAGGGAATTTTTATTCTGTATTTTCTGTTTTCAATTTGTTCACAAGAGACCATCTACTCGATTTAAATTGTATCTTGTATATTATATATTGAGTTAGAAGGAAAGCGTAATATCTCTCTCTCTCTCTCTCTCTCTCGTTCAAAGTTATACACTATATTATGTTATATATAGTATATTATTACACTTACAGTAAAGTTTCAGCCTTAAAAATCTATTTTTTTTTTTAAATTGCAATATAATAATTTTTATGGAGCTGTTTGAGCAAAGTAAAAATACTCCTTTTATTTAACCTGCGATAATTCAATAATAAAAAATCGTAAGAACATTTTTTAAAAACAATTTTGTAGGGAAAACTTTCAGCTTTTACGTTAAAAAGTCAAAAATTTTTACAAATTTTTATTTTTTGACACGTGAGAGATTCATAAAATGAGAAAAAATTTTCCCATTTTGTTCAGCTTGTTGTTAATTTCTATGTAAAACCTCATATAAAACTTATCGAATTCACAGAAACTAGAAAAATATGAACTTTTAAAAAATGACTTTTCGAAAGTGAAGATTATAAATTTTAAAACGCTTTTTGAAATTTAAATTTCGTTCATTTTTAACGAATATATTTTATATACAATTTTAAGTTAAAAAATACGATTTTACTTTCCTCCTAATCCAATAGTAACCTTCAAAACAAGAACACAATTTCCCTTTGCCTCGAAAACATGCAGAGAATCGAAATAGGCAATTGCTTCGAAAAATGATGCAAAGATAATGTGTTTTCCAACAGTGCAATTTTCCTTTTATTACGACGTTAATTACATGAAAATCATGCGTGTCCCGTTTAATGAAGGTGCATCAGCATCCGGAATTCTGCCATGTCGCGTTTGTTCCTCCGAGGCTATATAAATTTCATCACAGTCATCTTCTCGTATCTTCAAGGCGGAGGAATATATTAAGTGTCTCATTTCTGGAGCACCCTGTACAAGATGAACACGGGGCCCTTATAACGTGGTAGATTTAAACGCTTGGCCGATCGCGCTAAATCCGTCCGAGTTTCGTCGTATCTCGAAGGTGCTTCACGAGTTTCCTTGCTTCGCACTCCCTTCGAGCACTCGCAATTTTATCATTTCACTCGGAGTGAGCTCGCGCTCCGGGCTACTAGGACGGTTTAATATCGGTATGCGATCTATGTAAACCGCACGGAAGGGTTGGCGAGATTCCGAGAATACGAGTCAGCATAGCGAACATGCGAATTCTAAGTAAAGATCATTACCCCACTAAATATGTCTTCTTTCTTTTTTTGTGTGCAATCTATCACAAGTATGATGAATGTTTCATTGATGACAACTTGGTATCGGATTTCCTCGTCGGTGTATCATTTTTCATTGCACAATGCTTTTCGATTGCATGTCAAAACTATCAAACTTTTGATTAGTTCTGCATAATATTTTCTATTAGCAGAAAAATCGTTTGCATTTTGAAATTAATTATTATTATTATTAAATTACAGTTTTATACAAGATATTACATAGCCCAGATACCGGATCTGTTAGCTCTTTACGCCTATATATTAAAGCTGGCGAAGCCATTGCACAACCAACTAAGTCATAAACATAAATTTAATGCTTGTTTGTTGCTAGTTCTTTTTGCTTCATTTGCGATTCTATCGCTCTTGCCGATTTCATAAAAATAAGAGGAGCTGTGTCGATTGAAATTTATAGTTAGCACAGCCGTAGAAAAAAAATAAAACGAAATATATCCTTTCAACGCTGTTTTTGTTGCTAATTAAGGGACGATTAACTCTTTGATACATTTCACTTCTTTTTACAGCACAAAATATATCAAGAAAAAATTATTTATCACAATTTTTATTCTTAATTTTCACAATTAAATACCTATATAGCGTCTTAGTTTAAATCTATCAAAGTAAAATGCATTTGAAATAAAGAAACGAAGATGAAGGTTTTACCAATCTGCAAAAAATCTTTCATTTTCAATTAATTAAGAAGACGACTTCTTTCCTCAGTCTTTAATCAATTCATCAAAGGATTCATAAATAAAATGTAGTTCTAAAGTAATATTATAAGACGTAGAAAAGTTTAATTAATTTCAAAGAAAAAGTATTGCCCCTTCTCTTCTTCCTTAACAAAATTTTACCATTTTAACGTGAGTATTTGATACAAGATAAGAGGTGCAGTTTCATGATAGATGAGATTTCGCGTGTCAGTCGAGCCCTATTATTTCTCCGATTTAAACGTGGCTCCATTATCGAGTAGTATGCGACAAAACAGTCGGACTTTCGGAATAACTCGGCAGCATTTCCCCGGCGAGAAGTATATCCCGCTGCGAGGCTGCGAGTTCCAGAGAGGAATCGCGTTTTCCTCGTGATTAGGGGTAATAGCCTCATGCTTTGCCCGAGCAGTTCTTCAGAGCCTTCCCTTCCTGCGTCGTCCTCCTTTGCTCCTCTCTCGCTCGACTCTCCGTAATTACATCCACGGCCTCTGGTGATTTCTCTGGACTTAACCCCGCGTTTACAGCTAAATCCGAGGAACTCGCCACTAGG